AAAGAAATTCGTGATCGTCGAGAAGAAGAAAATTTTCTCGAAAATGATATTGTTCGATTAAAACAAAATCTCAATGAAATTCAAGAAACACTTCAACAATTGTTTCGAAAAGATACAAAGAAAGCCATCATTGTTGATAATGATCAAATTGATTGGAATCGACTAATCTACATTCGAGAAGAACAACAAAACTGTGAGTATATTGAACTTGAAATAGAGAAAAATAGAAATTCTAAAACAAGTTCATCGAATATTATTTATTATTCAATCAAACTTCTTCATTTCATTAATATATCGAAATAGAGCGTCGTTCTTTACTATCAGTCCATATAGAGAAAAAGTTTCTTTAAGTTTTTTATAAGAAGTTCAAGTACCACTATTTTTGGATAGCTCTAAGTAATTCATTAATAGATTAGAGTTACTTCGAGAGAGACAAAATTGAATAGATCTCCATTTGAAATTAAACACATTCAACTCTCCGAAATATCATTTCGAATTCCGATAGGAATCATTTCTAGAATACGATTGATTTCGTTTTAGAAAAGAGTTTTACTATTGAACATATGAGGTTACGAGTCTTCAGTAATGTATATCAAAGCTAATATTTACTCTCTAATAAAGATTGATTTTCAAGTCGCGTCGATCAATATAGTTTTTCATTCATTTTAAGATTTTTCGATATTTCAAAGACTCGAATCGTTTAACACAATTTATCTGAACTAACTTTTCTTTTTATTATTCTACATAAAATTAAGAAAATTTCGATGAGAGTTAAAGTAAATTCAAGATCTTGTATTTTACGTGTCTTAATCGTTCTCAATCATGAAAATTAAACTTTCAACAATTAGAAGAACATTCACTTTTAATCATTGGAAATTAAAAACTTCAATCTATAGTTCTAAAACAAGAATCATTCCAGAAGATTTTCATATATCCGAGAATAATTTTTAAAGATAAAGCCATTTTAATCATCGAGAAATATTTGAAAAGAACATTTCAAGTTTCATTTCATACTGAATTATCGAAGGATGAACTAATAAACAATGAATTCGCATGTTTCTATGTGAATCAAATGTTCGGGGTACTATGATTCTTTATTCAAAACCGATAACATCTTTGAAAGCAGCATAGAAAACTGAGTCGACTTTCTATATATATTTCAAAGTTTTTCGACGAACTTTCGTTCTTGAAAAATTCATTTGGATCGAATCAGTGAGGCACAAAATAACAAATAACTAAACAATAAAAATGATGTGTTTATTAAATCTATTTTGTTGACTAACCGTTGAGGAGAAACTCGAGTGATTTTTTCGAGAAAAAAAAGTTCTCTGAAAAACTTTGAAATATATATAAGTTCACTCGACTTTTTATGCTGATTTCAAATATGCTATTAGTTTTGACTCAAATCATACCTTTTCCAATAAAAACCTATAAAAGACCGGTGAAAAATACGAGACGATGGTGTCTAAACGAAACTCAAGTAGTCTTTTTTAACAAAAGCCATTTTAAAAAGAATTGACAAGGATCTGATTTTTGTAGTCATTCTTTCAATTTTTCAAAATCAATCAAAAATCCATGATGTCTTTTTCCTTTGCTTGAAATATTGAGAAAACAGTCAGCAAATTCAGTCGTTCCAGCTAAAACTTTTATCAGAAATAGACTATAGAAAGGGTAGTCGATTGACATCATTTTCAGTTGAAAATACATTAGTGTGGAAATATTTATGCGAATCGCTATTCCATAAATAAATTATCCATTTATCTGCGTTAGATAAATCATACATAGAGAAAAACTGGCAATGACTCAGAAGCAGTCCTTATCCATCTCCGGCCTTTCTTATTTGTTAAAAAGAATGCTTGAATAGAAATTTCTATTTCAGGTAACACTGCGTGTGCAAATCCATATCAATCATCAACTTCCTATCCTCAACGACAAGGTAAATATTCTTTAATAGTGGTTCAAGATTTAATCTATTTAATTCTTAGGTCGTTATCCGCCACAACAATCGTATCGAAACCTGTACGCTTCATATGCTCTACAACAGCAATCATATCAAAACCTTTATGCTTCCAATCCTCAACAACCTCAAGGTAATATTACACTTTATAGTTGATGGAGGCCTGTGAGAAGCTTATTTATTTTTCACGATTCTTATGATAATAATCCTTTAATCTTACTCAAAATTTCTGTTTTAACAGGTGGTTATTGTGGCTATCTTCCATATAATCAACCACCGCAGCAATATCCAAATCCTTATGTTTGTCAATCATCAGGCTAGTGCTTTTCTTCTTGATATTTAATCAATGTTTTTTTATTTCTTTGTTTTTTTCTTTACAGTTGGTGGGTATAGTGCAAATAGATATGGATCGCCAGCTAGTAAGTTACTTTCTAAAACAAAAAAAGAATATTGAATTGAAATAACATATTTAGTAAATGATCGTCTTCGAGCTGTAGCTGCTCGATATGAAATAAATGATACACTTACTCAACATCTTAATATCCTTCAACAATTCAAAATAGTTGTACTTTGTGATGATTCAGATTCAATGAATACACTAGTTGATGGAACAACAGACACTCGATGGGATGAATTACGATCTATTGTACGAATAGTTATTGAAATTGGCACTGTATTTGATTCAAATGGAATTGATGTACATTTTCTTAATCGTTCATCAATGCCTAATGTAACTGATACTCAACAAGTCGTGGAATCATTTAGTCAACGTCCAGCTGGAGT